ACCTTTTTTTCTTAGTGAGTATAGGTTGATTTTTTGACGTATATACAGTATGTGTATGTTATGTATGTACGCTTTGGTATGAAGTTTAGCTATTCTATTCTATTCTATTCTATATATATTTATAAAAAATAACATACACTATACAATACAAAAGATCTTATTGTAATTACTGAATTACATATTTTATGCATCATCTGAAAATGACTATATTATTTTGTAATGCCTAAATTAGTAATTTATCGTATAGTAAATTTTTTAACAAAATTTATTCGCGTTTTTTTTTCTGGACTTCATATCCAAATACGTTTATAAAGATTTGATACTTGTATCTTTTCAGGAAATAACATTCGGCATGGAAATGTTTGCTAATTTAATCGATAAAGATCAACTGAAAGAACCGGTGACTATTCCTCTTACAGTGGCAATAAAGATTTTCACGAAAACCCTTGAGAATCGATGTAATGAAATTTTTAACAGTAAAGATCATCCACTTAATTTGATTAATAACGCAAAATCTGCCTGTGATAGATATAATTTTCTATTTCATAGCGATATTAAATGCAGTCAAGGGATTTGCGGAATTAGTGGTCATTGGATTATTGGCAATAAAGAAGAATGGAGAAATGAATTAGATGAAATGCGACAAAAAGAAATTCAAGAGAATGCTTTAAAAATTCTTCAAAATAAACCGGCAGGAAAAAAACGAAATAAATGGATGCAACAAGGACCTTTAGGAAATAATCAACCTATACTCACTAAGAAAAAAGGTAAACAAGAAGCGGAGGATGCGGAGATCGAGCAACAAAAGAAACAAGAAAACAAAATTTCTTGGGCTGATGATGCTGAGATAGCATTTGGAGATGTTGGGCCACAGCAAACCTTAAATTTCAATCCTATCTCAAAGGATATTAAACTCATGAGCGAAAATACAATCCTTGAGAGTCAAGGTTTTAATGTGAGTGGTCATGAAACGAAAGATCAGACAGAGAAAATGTCAAAAAATGGCGAAGGAGAGAACCTTTTTGACATGATCTCGTTTGGTGATAAGCAGCAGTCCGATGATTTTATTGACAACTTGAGCATTGGGAACAGTGAATTAAAAGAAAGCAGGAAAAATGACAGAGAAATGGAAAATACAGATGAAGAAAATGTTCGGACACGCGACTTAGGGATTGCGAAGACGAGTAACGATGTCGAAGAAAATATGAAAACACCTGACATAGGGTTTGTAAAAATGAGTGATGATAACGATGAAAATATTCGAACTTCCGACATAAAGACGAGTGACAAAAATATTAGAGCACCTGATGCAAGATTTATTCCACAAAAGACGTCAAGGATTTCACCAGTACAACCTCAAGATACATATCATGAGCGTAAATCTAAAGAAAAAAGTCATTCACAAGAAGATGCGGATGCTACAACTGTTTCTGAATATTTACTTAAATATTCCAAAGTTATTTATAATGCACTCCTAGCTGAACTTGAATCGCGACAATTTTTGTATGAAATAGATAAAAAACCACGCATGTCTGAATGTCCAACAGGACGAAGAAAGAAACGTGGTCAGAAGAAACGAAAGTATGAAAATAAATTGGTATGTAACATGTAACATCAATGTTTTATATTCAATACAAGTAACATATAAATTCGATTACGTATTACCAATAATTTAATAATTCTACACTATTTAAAGTGGAGACATTCCGTCTTGGTAAAGGATGAAGGATTGGCGGTTCGAAGAAATAATGTAGAGAGGCTGCGTAAGGTTGTTGTTGCTTGGGGAACGGTTGTATGTGACGTTGAGAATTCACTATTGTGGAAGGGTAGCGTGTGATACTGAGAATTCACTATTGTGGAAGGGTAGTATGTGATGTTGAAAATTCATAATTGTGCAATTTGAATTGAATAATGGTTTGCATCGCTATCATACTCGTGCATCGCGCTTAGTTTGTTATAAATAATATTAATTTTGCTAATTTACGTTGATATCGATAAGATTTGTTTCGCATCAACTCTGAATCACTGCTAGCCATCACGTGACAAACCTATATTTTGACTAGTAGTAGGGTAACCTTGTGAGGTGAATATTTTTAAAGATTCGGATTTCGAATCGAAGCTATGAAACATTCAGATCGACGCTCGGAATTCATTGTGTTAGGGATTGGGCCGCCTAAAATTTTCAATCGTTTAACCATATTTAGGGTTGAAAATTACATAAATTCGGAACTATAATTTTATATTCAAAAGGGTTCTACCACAAAATGCCGAAAACCATTTTCCCGAAAGAACATAATACCGACTAAATTGGCCAACATTATAACTAATGCAGGCTAACTTTGTCGGTATTGGGTACTTTCGGGAATTTGTCTTCCGGGATTCTATGGTAAACCCATTCAAAAGCGCACCAGGCATAATGAAATTTTGGCTACATTATTCACATGATATCTGAAATTTTGATTTCGGAAGCTTACGTAAAATTACACAAAATTACGGTAATTTTACAACCCCAACCGTATCGGTATTAACCGTTTAATTCAGCCGGCATTAAAATTGCCCTCAAAATAATTCGGCCCAGCACTATAAAAATTATTTATGTAGAGCTACAGTAAGTGGTTCCCGTAATAAATAGGCTTGGACTATGATCTCATTGGTAAAATTGTGAAGGAAATTTAATGCCGACCCATTTCGATGGAATTTTGGTCGATCTGCTAATCACCGTAATCACAACTCGTAACGTTAAAAAACCAGTTTTTTGTAAAGGATGTTGCTATTACAGACATACCGAAAACATGTGTCCGGAGCTTAGGTCTACACGGGAAATAAACCAATCAAATAACAAGATTTTTAACTTTGCCTGCCTAATAATTTTATCAGAAACGAATTGATAACTATAACGTACAGTAATTGGTATTTGACTTTATGTTCCAATTGGAATCTATGTTCAGTTATAGAACAACGTTGGCCTAAGTGTCCAACACTCCTAGAGTTCATAGGATGATTGGTTAAGATCTACCGTGATAATTAACAATCAATTACATAAATTTCAAACCATTTATCATTTAATACTATTAGAAAACGAAAGAAAACTTCGTTAAAAGAGCTTACAAATCAATAATACACCAAAAGAATTGTCACATAATTAGAAAATAGATACGCGTAAAGTAGGATAAATGTTATATTTATTATTAATCAAAAAATTCAATATGCGAATAAATTATTAGCAAAGCTATCTTAACTATATTTTAAAAGTAATTAAAGTAATTCAATTATACTTGTTGGCAAAACTGGAATTGGTACTGGACAAACCCGGGCGAATGGGTGGGATTGTCCGGTCATGCCTAAAAATCCCATATTAATATTGGCGAAAATGGACAAATCCCAATCCCAAATTCTGGCCAAATCCCATCCCAAATCCCGTTCCAAATCCACGTGATGACTGTTCAATAAAATCACGAATATAATGTGAACTCAGAAATTAATACTTGCATCACTCATATATAAAATAGCTCTAATAGTGAAGCTACGGGTAAATATTGTAAGCTAGTTAAAGAATATTCAAATTTCTATTTTTGACCGGATCTGGTCTCTTATTTAGAGATATGCATTCTCGTTTATTTTTGTATCCTGAGATGGGATTTTGGATGGAATTTGGAAATTGGGATTTGGCCGGAAATTGGGATTTGGCCAGAATTTGGGATTATGACAGGAATGAAATTTTTCCAATTTGGGATTTTCCACATGGGCAAACCATAGGGTTGTTAAAGCATACCTGACAACTTACTTTACACGTAAATTACACTGTAATTTACTGTAACTTACCCGGCCCATTTGTAAGTTACAATATAGCTTTAAAGCTAGCCGAATCATTTGACAAATTTTACCAGCATTAACATCAACTTGATCTAGCCGTAATGGATAAAAATGACCAATCAAACCTAAATTACATCTAATATAATTATCTGTATTCTATAACATAATAACCAGTAACGTAATGATAATAACGATATATTTTAAATACATAGCATTTATTTAATAATTATTATCATTATATTAACTGAATAGTTACAAGATTCAAATTAATGTTAAATGATATATTTATCAATATGCAAGAATATGAGTGTGGCAGTTCTTGAATTACCTTTTTTTTGGTAAAATCTAAAGTTTAACATTTACAGCGCAGCTAATCTATTATTACTGTTATCATTACAATGAATAATTTTTAACCCGATCACCTTGTGCTAATTAACGTTCTACTCATTTATGTCAGATAAATCATATTCATATAAAAAAGAATCTAAGTCTAAATTATTTTCTTCCATTAATTCTATTTCATCTAACTCTAAGTTAATATTATCATCTTCTATTAATTCTGGTTTGTTTGATTCTAAAATAGAATCATTCCCGGTCAAATAACCTTTTTGTTTTAATCCATTTACCGAAAGTGGCCGTTTTAGTGAACGTAAAGCCCGAAGATTCCAATATATGTATACAATTTTTTCCACATGTGGATTAAGCAAACGATTGCGTAATTTAGTATGAATAAAACTAAATGCTGACCAGTTTCGTTCACTAGCTGCAGAAGTTGCAGGTATTGAAAGTACTTTTAATGCTATATCACTCAATACTGGATATCGTGCCTTAACCAAATTCCACCAATTGCATGGTTTTTCTTTAATTAAATCCCACAAATGACTCGCTGAAAATCCTCCACTTTTTTCAACATATTCAGCAAACTCTTCTAAAACTTGAATTTCATTTTCCAGTCCGGCAAGGCGCATTAATTCACTTTCAATTATTGAGTCCCATTTGTTTGGATCTGAAATCTCACCACAATATCGAGGATCTAGTTTATATGCTACCATAGTTGCTGGGTTATATAAAAAATCATTTCAACGATGTTGTACAAGTTGCATACTTTCCACAATAATTATATTTGGAACACAAGTATTATTGTGTATAGATATTTCTAACTGTCGTAATTTGAAAAATGCAACTGATAAAAGTGGTGCATCTCCTTCAAGCTCATTAATTAAACTAACAAAAGGTTTTAAAAAATCACGAAGATTTTCTAGATCTTGCCAAAACTGGTTATCCATAATAAGGAGTTTAATATCATAATTTCTATATTGTCTTCAACTAATATAGAACAAACTGCATTTTTTGTTTGTAATAAATGGTTCAAACAATAAAATGCTAATCTCCACTGTGTATCAACTGTTGATACTAATGAAATAATATGTCCATATTTTTCAATTTGAAGCTAACGAAGTATTGCTAATGGAATTAAATGTGAATAAAAATAATAAACAATATTTTTAGAATTATCTAAGATTTTTTTTGCCCAGTCCAATTTTAATATGTTTTTTATTCAAAGATTTAATCCATGAGCCCAACATCCTAAAAATATTTTCATTGGATATTTACTTTTGAGAATATGCCAAGCAGCTTTCATTTTCATGTTTGGTGCATTGTCTGTAATTACAGCAACAAACTTGTTAATATCAAGTTTATTCATTACTGCTTCAATTCCTTTTGCAATATTTGCTGCTATATGTTAATCTTCTTTTGTATGTACAGATTTATAAAAAATAGGTTTGGGAACTGCAATCATATAATTAATAATTGAATCTTTATGAATATTAGACCAACTATCTGTTATAAGACAGAAATATTGTATTTCACTAAACAGATGACTAATAACAGTATTAATATCATTATTAGGATCCATATTGGGCCGGGCTAAACCTGCGGGTTTTAGGATCAGGCCGGGTTTTTGCACGGGTCAGGTCTAAATTTTAGAGTTTGTTTGTAAAATGGGTCGGGTTCAGGTCGGGTTTATTAAATATTGGACCCGGGTCGGGTTTAGTAAATAGGCTCTGTACAGCCCAATAATACTTAACAAAAAACTACTGCTTTAGTTCCTATTGGCTACAACTTATTATAGCTTTAGTTAGATATTACTACAACTACGTACTAAATAAAATACTTTTCAGTATATAAAAACTTTAATTACAAGTTTAAACTAGTATAAATAATATAGTTAAACTTTTTAAAAATTGTAATATCTTTAACTCTTCCCATAGATCACTTTTACCAAAACAGAAACAAGAAGAAAAAACTTTCCCACAAGATTATTTCAAAAACCTACTAAGCAAACAGTTATTCAGCTCTTAAGTAAAGTTACTCAGGCCCTCTAGTTATACTTAAAAGAGGTGCATTTTTTTTTTAAAAAAGCTCCTTCCTTATCAAGTAAATAGCAATAAACTTGTCAAAAGACAAAAAACCAGTTTTTCTATCCTCCTGTGAAAGTGGCTATAAGGATAGCCAACATTTAAACAGCCCAGCTCCAAGCACTACCAACCTGCTATACAAAAACATCAAGAACTACTATAATACCCAAATTACTAAACCTCAGCCCCCCAGCAAAAATATGACTTCTGAAAGCTCTACTTCTTTCTTTAGCTATTTTTCCCCATCCTGCAAACCCGCACAACCTAGTGACAATCTATCTGGCACCACACCACCAACCCCAGAAACTAAACACACAAAAAATTTTATCAAAATTACTATCAAAGATTGGTCCAAACTTATCTTTACAGTTAGCTTTTCTATTCCAGAACACGCCAACAACTTCCTCTTCTACATCGATATTACCAAATCAGAAAGAATTTCAAATTTGGCAAATTACTCTCCCCAATAGATCTGCAAACACAAAGATATTACCCAATCAGTTCTCTTCAACCTCACGACACAGAAAAACAATATTATTAATATCAGCGCCAAATTCTCTAAATCAACCCGCACTTGTGACCTTAATACAACCATTCAGGCCTA